TTCCCCCCCTTTGCCAAAGTTGGAGCACCTTTTCCAAGACCAGTATGGAATTCCTTGATGGAACACGTGAGCCAGAGGATTTGAGAAAGAGGAAACTAGGGAAAGAAATAGCAGTATCTTTAAATACCTTGCAGTGCTCCAAATTCCACAGCAGACACCAGAGGAGAAAGTTCCCTGAGCAAGCTGAGAACTCCTCCTAAACCACTGAACAAAGGTGAATTTTCCAGACAGACAGGTCCTGCAGATGTTCCCCTGTCTGTGGGAGTGACTCACTAGCCTGCTGGTGAAAAAGGAGGGCAATTTGTAGCCCGAATTGAAAATGAGTTTCTAGTTCTTACTGCCCATATTTACAAGAACTAATCCCCTTCGAGCAGCAAATGTTGTACCTGGATTAAGAACAGATCTGCTAGGTCAGCAGTGCTGGGTATTACTTAAGAGACCCCAGATCTTCAAGATTCTACAGTGCTGTCCTCCCAGATTCCTCGGGTGTAAAGACAGTACAGATTTATATGGAGCAGGAGGGTTATGGAAAGCAGCTTTATTCTAAAGCTCTTTCTCCATCTCTTTTTCTATTGGGGCTGCAAATCATGCAGCCTAATAAGGAGCTAAACAAAGAACTATTTGTGAGACGTTGAATTTGCAAGCATTAGAACAAGTCTCTATAAATACACGCTATTCTAAGAGTTGCAATAGATAGATATGTTATTTCCACAATCGATAAACTGTAGAGTTAACACAAAGCTTATCTATTGTTGTGCCACTGACACCCTCAGGCACATTGTACAAATAGTTTATGTTGGTGGCCCGCTCACTGTTTTCTTCAATTAGTTTATAAAAAGGAAATTACACATACTCAATACATGTTTAAAGATGTACAATAGAGACGAGCAATTTGATCAATTTAGCTTCTTTCCGCTCATGAATGGTCTGAAAATAGCTTTTGCTTTTCTTGAATTTCAATTTGATTTTGTTCACACAATAATTTGTGGGTAATTCATGGCTTGTAAACATTTCAAAAGCAGCTGTGTTTGATACTTTGGTGGGACATGTTAGTTTTCACTGGAGAGATCCCCTGGTATTCTTTCCATTCCCCAACTGAATTAAACTCTTGCAATCCGCGTTCCAGTAACCACTCAAAAGGTCAAAGTTTGCTTTTGTGACTATTCACCCACATTTGCTTAGAGTTAGTAGCTGCTGCAAACATCCACAGGTGGGATTTTCACAAGTGCCCAAGAGGTTTACATGGGATTATGCCACTAAATCCTTTAGATGCTTTTGAAAAATCCCACCCCTCCTGTCCATAAGAACTTGATGAGAATATTTGGGGAAAGTAAAAATGTACCTTCCCCCTGCCCCGCCTTCCCAGGTGAAGCCAATTCCATTTTTATTTGAGCAAACATTTATAAGGCAGAGACCAGAGGTGTTCCCCCAGGTCTAGCACTCACCACTCTGTCACAGAACAGGCTGGGAGCAAGCTACTCTTGTTGAGAGCTTCCCTGGTCAGCACTGTGGGGAGTGGGGGGGGAGAAATGATCACCAGCCCTTTACAACAGAGATAGGGCCTTCATTTACTTTTGTGGAGTAGCTAGCACAAGGCCCTGATGCTGAATGAGGCCTCTGAGCACTACTGAAATGATGGACATTTTAGGAACAGCTCTGAGGTGGTTCCACCCTTCCCCCATACTTCTAGGAGCATGTATGTCTGAAGAGAGAAGAGAGCTATTCCAGGGAGACAATCTCCCATAACTATGCCATTAAGGCAGAGACGGCTGTTTATTTCCGGTGGCGTGGTATGTGGCATGCAGCTATTCTGCTATTAGTTTCTGTTTAAAGCTGGACACTTTGCCCTTGCCAGAGCAGACATATTTCACTCAAGCTTGAGCTGCAGAGGCAACTACCCTCCAGAAAAGCCTATTCAACCAGATGGGGATGAGTGGGCTTCGCTGGTAGCTCTGTTCCTGCAGTGTTTCTCAGAGCCTGTGGGCTCATTTCAGGTGGAGTGCAACACCAGTCTGCAGTCAGAACCTCTGGGAAGACACTCTCACCTTCTAGAACAGAGGCAGAGAACCAGGCAACTCTCAACAGCAAGTACTTCACTTTGTTCTCTCCCTTTCTCCTCTGCTGCCTCCACCACAAGGCTCTTGGGGAAGAGGGCACCATAGACTTCAGTCATCCCCTCCTGGCAAGGAGGCAGAACAAGAATCCTACAGAACCCCATCAGGCTCCTCTGCTTCTTGCTAAAGAGGATGATCAAGGCAAGGCAAGCAGAGGTATCGACTAATCCCGGTGACAGGAGGACCCAATTTCCCCCCCTTTCCAGCAACTCTGCCACTCAAGATTCTCTTCACCTCCCCCGCTCCCAGTTACTTCTACTGAAGACGCTGCCTCTTCTAGCATGGCATTACAGCAATGGGATACAGACTAGGGGAGTTGTTCTTTGTTGATGGCAGTTCCCATTTCATATACATTTTTTTCCTTTCCCGATTGGGTCCATAGTCAGTTTCCCCTTGGACACAGACTCCCAAATAGAGAGGTAAGAGTAAGGACATTAAGCCTCCAAAAGGACTCCAGAAAGCTGCAGCTGCCTTGTCAGAGGAATGTGAAATGGCTCCTCCCTGGTCTTCAGAGTCTGAATTGGAAGATGACAAATTTCTCCAAGAAAGCAAAGTGGACCCCACTATATCCTGCTCTTTAAAGCCACTGTAGTAAGAATAGTGAAAAATCCACTAAGGATCCCCCTAAAATGAAAAGCAAGGGAAAATTCTCTGTTCCTGAGTTAACTGAAAGTATAGCTGATGCGAGAGGCTATTAGCAGTCACTGTCTCTGTCACTTCTGCTTCACTGGACTAGAATTCTTGGCTTCTTTGGAAATAGCAGTTGTTTGGAAGATAGCGGAGTGCACACAATATAGAAAGCAGAGGTACGACCTCAACTAGTTAAACAGGACTTGCACATACGGGAGAATGCAGAAGAGTGGAGTTGGTCACTTGATTTACAGATGCATACCTTTCTCATAAACAACGTATATTTTTAGACGTTTTGACCTATTCTTACCTCTTGTTTTTATATGGGTTCGATGTTAATTTGCTTAGTAGTATTCAACAAGCAAAACATTTTCTGGCATTAGAACCTCAAACCCAGATTACTGTTTATGTTGTATAAAAATACAAATATGCCAATTTAAATTATAACCTCTTAAACCCTTCCTGATCCTCCCCACCACAGCCTGCAATTCTTAAAGGGTAGAGTTAATCCCCTGGTAATCTTTCATCCCACTGACTCATCACTTAGCGATCTGCTTTATCTGCAATACCCCTGAGGTCAGCAGGGCACTGGGCAGGTGCCATCTTAGAAGGACCTGGAGATGCACACTTTACTGCAGGAAGCTTCAGGGAGCAGACAACAGACTGAAAGAAAAATGTGCCTCTAAAATCCAAAGGGGCTTTTAACTTAATTGTCAGTAGAACTGCAACTCTGTTTTTGTCATCTTTGCTCTGCCTTTGGGAGTCAGGACCATCAGCTGAGTTTCTGCCACACCAAAACAGGAGGTGATTGGCCAAGGAAGCTTCTTAACTGTACAAATAGTTTGTCCAATATAACCAAAGGAGGTGAAGGCTTTGCTCCATTACTCCAGTGTTGGCACAGGGAGTTACTTTAGTGTTCGGTGTATAGACAGTCTTTATACCACATTTTTAAGATTGTGTTGGGAGACTGAGAGGCAACGTAACAGTCCAAGCAATAAGGGAGGAACAGACATTTCACGGCAGAAAGTGACTGAGAAACTAGTAATTGATGGGGAGTTCTTGAATTCAATAATTCATCCCACACATCCAAGTATACATCAACCTTTCAAGTCTCAAAACGTGGGCCAGAGTCCCCAATGCTAGAAGCTTTAAACAATGTGACACTGGCTCCTTTAACTTCAGTTTCATGACCACATTCTTGATACGAGACAAGGTAAATTTGGCTCTAGGACAATGGATACCCACTGGACATATCTGTCAAACACAGGCACTGACTTTTTTCCTGGTGGGTGCTCCACCCCCACTCCGCCCCAAGGTCCCAACCCCCTCCCCCCGGCCCCCCCCCATCCCCTCCAGCCCCCCTCCTGAGGTCCTGCCCAACAGCTGTGACTGGTGGTTGCTGAACACCCCCTATTTTTTTCCCTCATGAGTGCTTGAGCCCCAGAGCACCTGCGAGTCGGTAACTATGCTGTCAAGTACCCCACCACCACCAGACCCAAATCTAACTTTGCCATTTCAATGGACTAATGAGGGGAAAGAAGAAACTTGATATCGGTTTCCCTTTCTTTCAGGACAAGAACAAACACAAACAAATGAGGAGAAACGTTGTGGGTTTTAAAAGCAGAACACAGGTTTATTTACAATCAAGTTCTGATGGGCAGCTGAATAAATAAAAGTTTTGCCCTGTATACTCTCAACTCCCCTCTGCAGAAGTTGTCTGAAAGAAAGGCTGGGTTAGAGAAAGACCTCTATCCTAGGAACAACCCTCTTTCCTAATCCATCAAAACACTTCCTTAGAAAACAAGCTCAGGAAGGAAGCAAAATAAAGTGCAAATAAAAAGGCGACAGAACGCTGGTGACTTATCTTGAGGCCCATTTGAGGTGGAAAAGTTTGGCTGGATAAAAGTTACAAAACATCACAGTTAGTTCTCCTCCAACCACCTCACATATTTAGTTGCCTGAGGATACAGGGTGTAAACCCTGTTCGATGGCACAGGAAGGGCTCAAGCACAAAGGAGAATATTGCACATGTGCTCAGAAAGGGGGCAAGTGGCCAGGGATTGCCAGCATTAGAGCATTACATTCAGGATTGAATCCCATTGCTCCCCCGTGCTCCACCAACAGCCTCCAATAGAGAAGGACGGATGGACAGCAGAAGAGACTATACATTTATTTTCTGGTACTGGAAGTCTTGGTATGGATATATTCCTCATCACAGCAGCACCACCACTCCCACTGCAGATGTTACACCTCCCCTCCCCTTCCCCTCGCGCCAACAAAAAGGAAATAGATTGGTTCGAATTAAAATTCTCCTTTCCCCACTTTTTGGTACTTCTGCTACAGGAGCTATTGGAGGGAGTTTTAACAAAGATGCATCATCCCTGAAGAATGGACAGTTCCCTGAAATACAGATCAAAATGATGCAGGGAGTTCTCAGATTACAAACTGCCAGAGAGACCATGTCAGAATTGGAGAAGCCCCAAACTCAGCCAACACCACAGGGGGCAGAACTGCCAGAGCAACAGAAACATTTAAATTAGTTTACAGCTGTTCCATCACTTTATAGACTGACTAGGACCCACTCTGTCCATGTTTCAGAATGCCCATAGCCCATGCCTAAGCTACTCCATGGGAACAGAACACAGGAAACAGGACATGCATTAGGTCAGAATACATGGTAAACGCCTTTCCAACACGTCCAAGTCAGAAGTGCTGTACATACATTTGTATAATAGGGTATTTGGCACAGCTGTCCAGTGAGGGAATCTGGCTAGTACCTTCGGCTCCATCCAGTGCATAGAAACTGCATGTCAAGGCATGACTAGTAGTATTCGCCATCCAAATCAGCTGACCCTTTGCTGAGCCTGAGGGCCAGCAACACGCTTATAGGCAGTAAAGGGCTCTACGCCTCCAGCTCCTCGTCCTTGATTGCCTCATTAGAGCTCTCCTCTGAGAAGCGAAGCCCATTGGATGAAGCCCAAATGCATGAAGGATGAATCTAGCCTTGGGCCTCCATTCTGTCCAGCCCTGGACCGGCATCCTCCCAGTGAGAGACATTTGAAACTGTCTTTCATCTCCTTCCAATCAAAATTCAGACCACAGGACAGCCTTGTTTCCTTTGTCCACACTGACCACATGGGCACCGGCTGGTGACCATGCCACTGCATTGATAGAGGAGCTGAAAGGAAGCCAGGTGTCAATTTAGAAGAGATTCTAATTTCACAGCAGCATTTAGGACAGGAGAAATTAAACTCCATAATTTCCAAAGCTTATTCATTCTCAGATCTTATTTATGATACCTGCATTTGTAACAGCCTCCCAGGGATATTCGGAGTATATTATATTTAATGCCCTGATTGTGAACAAGCAATCCGACAACAAAGCACAAATTTCATAGCCATAATTCCCACTTTACCGGTTATTGCTATGAATCCAGAGAAGCTGCATATAAATAACCCATGCACACTGGTATGGGAATGGAACTCCGCATTTGCAATCCCACCTCTCCTCACCACAGGTCCTATGTGAGCCACAGCTCAGACCCTGCACCAGTTTAGTCCGCGAGCTTCCTATCTCACCTGTGATGCTTTGCAAGAGTTCTCTCCACTTTCCCAGTGAGCACATTCCAGATGTACAGGACCCCATCAGCTGAACCACCTGCCACATAGCTACCGTCAGGGCTATTGAAACACATATTAGATGCAGAATAGAAAAAATAATTTATTTTGAAGTTAGCAGCTTTTGTACCCACGCTAATCTTTAATGTTTCCAAAACAAGCAAACTGACATTAGTGGTCTGCACTAGCAAATATTAAAGTTTCACCAGCTCTTATTAACACTGATTAGCAAGATCAAGAAGTTTCCATATCACGTGATGATGTAACAGTCAGGTGGCTGGCATTTAAAAGATAGACGTTGGTTCTTGTTAAATCTACTTAGGCCAAAAGGGTGACCTTGGCAAGTCACTTCACTTCTGTGCCTCAGATGGGGATAACGATGCTTACCTCCTTTGTAAAGCACTTTGAGATCAATGAATAAAATGTGCTATATAAGCTAGGTATATTATTCTATTCGATTCCTAACATTAGGCACCTAAAAAAGTCCATCATAATAGCAGCCAAAGGCCCTGAAGAGAAATAGGGCTCCTGTGTGGTAGGCACCTTAAACACATAAAACAGTTCCTGCCCCAAAAAGCTTGTAATCTACAAGGGAAAAAAAAGGAGGCGATGGGGAAGGTTGAAGCCTAAACCTAAGCAAAATGGCTAGGATAAGCCATGTCTATACACACTAAATTTAGCCCTAGCTTTTTAAGTATTTAACCCTTAAAACCCTTACCTGTTCCATTTTTTAGATCTTAACCTTTCTATTTTAGTTTTATATTTAATCCCTGTCAGTCATATTTAAAAATCCTAAACGTGGTTTTTTAAAATCAGCAGAACTGGTAGCACCTTCTATACTTAAGGTTCCCCAACAATTCCTGTTAAAAGTCCCGGTTTTCATTTACTTATAACTTTACCAAGCATTAACCATTTGGGCTGAAGTTTTCCTTGTCAGGTGTCTGTCCCAGACTGACTATTTTTACCTGAATTTTGGCAAAAATGGTTCAATCGTTTGAGAAGGATATTAGAAAAATGTTTCCATATTAAAACAATTCTTACATTTCATTGAGAAGCTCTATCACCAGCACGCTTTGGAATAAGGACATATAGTCTAGGGGAAGGGTTGTCACCCTGGTTTCAGCTATGTGCCTTTTCTTGTTCCCATGAAAAGCTACCCAGATTTGGACAAATTAAAGCCTCTGAAAAACTGCAGTTGACAGATGCTCAGTAGATACTTGTTAGAACTTGCCAGCTAAATTCTCTGAAGATTCCATCTATAGTGGAACGTTCCAGCCCAGGGTCACAGGGGCTGAGCAGGAATTCCCTGCAATTGCTATTCCCAGCTGCTATGACATTGGGCACCAGAACTGACAGCCAGGTGACTATCCCTCTTTTGCTCTCAATGCCCTTGCTGGTGGTGTCCAGGCAGTGTGGAGGTGGAAGTAGCCTGACTCAAAAGCAGAAGGGAGAACGAAGAACTGGCTGAGCCAGGAGACTGGCACATGGGGCCTAGAAGGGGATGGGGAGGAAGAGGAGGAGATAGATTGGATGACAAGCCCAAGGAGGAAGGAGGCTGTAATAAGATATCATAACAAATATGCACTAGGGGCCAAATAAAGGCTCCATGGACAATCTTAATTCTGACATTTTCTTGCTTTTCAAGACTTGACTTTCCAACATTAACTTTGTTTTAATATAGGGTGTGTGCAAACTATATGGAACACTGCCTGTTCCCTTTTTCCTGATTTTTACAAATGGGGAGCTCTTTTGGTGTCTAATTGTAGATACCCAAGTCTGAAAACAGTTTTGCTGACTGCCCAGTGCTAAGTGTCCCCTTTTGTCTTATGACTAGTGTTAATGGCTACCCTACTGCTTGTAAAATGTGGAGCTTAGAGTTGTAGCACAAGTGATCAAGAAGCAATCAATGCATGCTACCGACTGGTAATTAGTTTGACAGCATATGGTGGTTTGGACCTTTTCCCTCAAATGTCACTGCAGAATTTGCAGTAAACCAAATAGCTGGCCCCCCGCTCCCCCATCCCAAACTCCAGTCTCCTCAGTTTGGCCTCTTACCTGAACACGACTCTGGTCCAGTCAGATCCGCATTTGAATCCCTGGGCACTGAAACAAGTTGGAATCAGGTAGTTGTTAGGTTCCTCTAATATGAATCTCGGGAAAGCCAGTTCCTCCTCAAGGACTAAATGAAGATTATTGCATTGACTGGGATAAATTCTACATTCTGTTTAACATTCTCTCTTTCCAACCTAATTTGTAGGATTTTTCTCCCCAGTGAGGGGGACAAGCTGTCTCCTTCAAAGAAGTGGAGGCAAAACCTTGACAAAATAGATCTTTGTTGTCAAACCATGGATAATGTGCAAACTACATCATCAGAGACATGGCTCCAAAGGCTTTCACTTCCCCACTGAGGGACTAATAGGAAGGTTTCATTCACAAAAGACAAGGGTAACACCAAAGTTACAATTATGCCACAGAATCCAGTCACCTGCCATATACCTTACTGGGATCACACTCACCTGAAAGTCTGTTTGACAGCATTGACTCGCAAATCAATTATCTTCAGCAGATCATCTCGGGAACAGGTCAAGAGCTCTGTTCTCTCTGGGTTCAGGTCTAAAGCAGTGATCCTCCCAAACAGTTCCAGCTCCTGCACTATGCTCTCAGTCCTGAAGACAGAAAACAGCATGGGTAACTGAGTATCAAGGATCCTTACTCCTGAAGGAATACTGTGCCACTATGTGCAACCAGAATTCCCGTCCCCCGCAGATTTCTTTGCTTCCCCGCAGAAAAATGACTCTGACGGGGAAGCAAAAGGAAACCGCAAGGGGGTCAAGTGCTCCTCCCCAGCAGCACAGGCGCATCATTTCGGGTGCCCAGAGCAGGGTGATCTCTCACATCCGTGCAGCCTGTGCTCTCCACTGCCATGCTGGAGCCTTCACATTTATTTATTGACAAATAAAATATGCAGATTTTTTTATTTTTTAAGCACAGAATTCCCTTAGGAGTAGATCCTGTCACATGAGCATCAAAATCTGTATCCCTAGACTTGCCCCAGTGCATGGGGATAGGAGACTAGGTATCCACTATTTGTTCATTATCCACTTCCACATTTTTCTTATTTCCTAACTAAAGTGTCACATTGTGGATATTTTGTCCCTAACCAAGGACTGTTCAGAACTTCCTTCAGAACCAGCTAGGGATACTTAAAACTAGCCAGAAAGAGAGAGAGAGAACAATGCAAGATATTTCTTTACTCAGGGGCTAATCTGCTGTCAATATATAACACAACATGCTACTAATAGCTCAGAGACCAAAACAGCAGTTCTATCATGTGCAAAAAGGTTATTATCCTTGGTGACTTCCTCATATTCCTGTAATAAATACTCCAAGCAATGGAGAACTCAAAGAATGGGAGGGTCACAATTCACAGATTCATCTTATGTTCTTTAGCATTAAATAGTTGCTAGAGAATCTAACCCGTGTCAGAGGATAGTTTTACCTGATGTCCCAGAAGCGAATCTTCTTGTCAAAATGTCCACTCATCACACACTGCTCTGTGCACACTATATCATTGCAGCTTGATCCTGCAAATACTGTTTTTATACCTTGAAAAGAAAAGAAAAAAGGGGGAGGCGGGATAAGTCACTAACAACACAGTCCCCTTCCCATTGTGCTGTACAAGTTGATAGCAGTATTTAAAAGTCACTGAACAGCAAACATCAAAATTCTGTAGCTGCATTGAAACTACTGCCCTGGGAGGAGTTTGGAGTCACGGGGGGTGGGGACAGGTGAGCCTTGTCTTAGAAGAAACTGATTACTGAGGATCCAAAATCCCCAACTGCACATTATTCCTCTGAACCACTTGACCACCATGCCCAACATCCCTACAACTGTACAAAGACAGTTGTTTTACCACCACTTCATCATTAGTCAAACAAGTCACAGATGAACATGACATGCTTTTCTTTACACATAAACAAGGGTGTAGGACACTGGGGGAGAAAGGCTGTCCCTGTGCTAAATTGTACTACAGAAACCAGGAACATATTTTAAGACAAATGTTTCTGCTATGAAAAACTGAATCCTGCGATTTGCTTCACTTGGAGGCAGGAAACTGTGGGTAGGGTTTTCAAGAGGGGGCTTAAGACCAGCCCAGGGTTGTAAGGTCTGACCTGCCTCCAAGTTTCTATAGAAGAATAAGAAACCCACTCTACAGTTTGATAGACAAGAGGGTCTACAGAGTGCAGTTGCCCACTCAATCAGCAATGCTTTTCACTGTAGCATATGGTCTTCTCTTAGGTTTCCCATCCAGGTAACAGCCAGGCCAGACTCTGCTTAGCTTGCAATACCGAAGATCAGATCATCATCAAAAAGCAGTATGGCTGCAATTTTCTGCTTTTTGGACAACCACGAAAGAGAATAAGAGGTGTGCAAAAGACAAAAGGGCGTTGGTGCTGGGGTGGAAATGGTTTCCTTACAAACTTTGCTGCGCAGGTCCCAGAGCTTGAGGGTCCGGTCATGACTCCCTGACACGATGCGTGCATTATCCAGCAAGAACTTGGCTGACAGAACCTTCCCACTGTGGCCTGTCAGTGTGTGCTGAGGAGAGAAGATTTACATGGTGTAAATGACAGTTTCAGCTACAATTGCTTCCTGTCCTCATGGCTCTGATCTTGCCATTCAGCACCTTAATGGGGGACAAAGTCTTTGATTCAAAGCCTCCCACCTTAGTCTAATGTGTGACTAGAGGCATGGATCACAAAAAAGAGCCCACCTTTCCATTCTGGTTAAACAGAATGTAGCTTTGATTCCCAGTCTGCATCTCCGTGACTCAGCAAGTGCCGAGAGTACTGCAGAGGCAGCATACTCAGCCTCTGGGTAGGAGATACTCTCTCCCTCATTTGCAACTCCTTTGGCTAGTTAAGGAGTAGTTCTTTTGAAATCTATGACTCTTTTCTACCACCCCTAGTAACCTCAGCTGGAAAGATGGTAACTACAAAAGTCTTAAAGGAGAGACCAGGGTATAGACTAAAGCATAGTAAGAGTTGGAATTATGGTGTCAAGTACAGCAAAAAGGGATCCAATGTTAACTCTGAAGTCTCAGCTTGAAAGCCTGAGATCTCCAGAGATTCCAGAGTTGCTCCCATCAGCAGATTCCCATGACTGTTTCTGTCTGATGCCAACTACAATCAGGGCCCGTTGGAACATGAAATACAATTATCACAAATTATTAGATACTTATTTGCCAATCACAGAACTAATGTAGCATGAGGGAATAGGCTGCCGGGAACAGGGAAAGTGATCAGAGAGCAATCCTTGCCAAAAATCAAACCTTCTACTGTTAGTCACTGAACTTCTAACTTGCACACTGCTACATGGACTATAGAACCACTAGAAGACTTAAAAATGGAAATGAAACAGGAGCAGAGTCTGAGGAACTGAAAAATTATTGCACAGCACTAAAACCCAAAAGTCATGGAATGTCTCAATGGTTGCAACGTGACAGTTAATCTCTGGATACCACAATTTAATGGATAGAGAGGATCTTTATAACCTTGGAGAATATTCCATTACCACCCTTCCTGCACTGCCATTAACAAGTGAATAGTTGTTTATAAATAGGTAGCTTGATGCAGAATTTAATATTAAATCAACTCAACTTCCCTCAATGCACATACAAGGGATGATAAATCCATGCACCAAACCCATTCAGACAAGGAATTCAATGTACTGTATTAGCTCAGTGAGCAGTGATGGTACTGACCCAAAGCCAGAAGTCATTAGGCACACTGGAAAATTGCAGAAAGATCTTCTGAAGACTGAGGGGAATTTTGCATGGGGACTTTTCACACAAAAGTTAATGATGATTAAGGTTAAGATTATGTCACTGGTATTTTTAGTAAAAGTCAGGGACAAGTCATGGGTAATAAACAAAAATTCACAGAAGCCAACAACCTGTACCTGACTTTTACTACAAATACTCGGGGGGGGGGGAAGGGGGAGGAACACAACAAACAGAGTGCTGTCAGGGCTTGCAGCTGCTCCAACCCCTGCCGCTCCAGCCCCACAGGGGCTGACCCAAGCCCAGCCACTGTGCCGGTCACTGGCCAGCAGCCCTGGGACTGACAGCTGCTCCAGGCCTGGCACAGAAGTAGTCATGGAGTTCCCAGAAAGTCACGAAATCCATGACCTTCATGACAGAATCATCTCCTTAATGATGATCTATTAAACTGTTATACACCTTTGTTTTTAACTGATGGTAGGATTTTGGGGCCAATCTAAACCTGCAGAAGATTTTGACACATTCTGGAAGGTTTCCCATACAAGATCTAACATTCTGGAGATAAATATCTTCATATTAAAAGCAATCAAGTGAATTATATTGTAGGTGTACTTTAGACCACTACATGAAATGCTGAAGATCTACAGAGCTAAAAAAATCACTCATGCAACAGATCAAATAATGCAACATGGGGCAAAGAGAGAGATTCAAGTTCACTTCTAATGCCTGAAGGGTGTGGGAGGCTAACCAGTGCAGAAATGACTGTAGAGCTTCTGTGGCAGAAAGGGAACAGGCCTGACCATTCCAAAATGCTTCATGCCAGATTGTGCACGCAACAGCTTGTAAGAGCAACTAAACATATCTTGGGTTAGAGTCAGCATGCCAAATAATGCTTGGTGAAATATTCCTAAAATAAAAATTCAAGAACAAGGATCATGTCCAGGAGCAGGAATAAGTGAAGCCTCTGCTAAGAGAAGAGACCTCTTTTCAGCCTACGTAGATCACAGGCATGTCCTTCCTTGGATAAGGGCCAAAGAGTTCACTCTGAAGAGGTGGAGGAAGAACATGAGCAAGATATTAGTATTTTGTTAAGTATCCTGATTAGAGATTAGTGCTTCAGGGCTTGTCTACTCCAACAATTGAGCCAGGGACCCAGGCTGGCCCCTACTCAGTTAAAATGCATCTATTCTAGGAAACAGAACTGTGTTTTAACTAAAACCCTGAACCCTGCTACAGCCTTTGGGTCCTTAAGACTGCTGTTTCTTAACATTTAAATGGTTCAAAGTTAATACTGCCTATGTGCAGAGGAAGGAAGGAAAGTTCATATATTTGGTCGCTATTTATCTGGAGAGGTTTCTGTGAGGCTATGTGCAGAGGCCAGGGTTGCACATCAGGTTATGTTGTAAAGGCTCTTTTCAATTAAAAAGGGATAAAAATTCAATTAATGTTTTGCAAGAGAGCAAAAAAAAACTTTAGCAAGATCCTAAAACAGTGGAATCCACAATTTTCCAGTGTCCTTCATAAGAACATAAATGGGAATACTGGGCAGAAACAGCCTATACATTGCTTCCCTTCTGCAGGAGACTCACCCGTAATCGATAGTCATCTACAGTCCAGATTCTGCTGGCGAAGTCATTTGAAGCAGCTAAGAGATAAGAGCCCTGTGGAAACAGAAGGGATTTAAGGCAATTTCCCACAGTGACTGGGAGAAGTAAACTACTACACCCAGCAAGTATTTCCAGAAAGTCTCAATACTATGGGATAATCATTAGAACTAACAATCCACAGGGTTCACTTTACTGCCATACTGCTATGAAAACAACTGGGGGAGGAAGGCAGCAATTAAGTTTGGATGAGGAAGAAGATTTTCAAGACATTTTTAACAAAGATGTAATTTTTTCATGAGCCATGTCCACAGATTCCCAAAACAATTGGCTATGAAAGGAATAGTGGCCACAGTGCTGGAAGGGAGGGACATTCTTTCCAGCCCATTTCTACTCATAACCTCCTTGCTGCTGCAAGGGTGGTGGGATTTTCTACTAGTCTGCCTTTATCCAGCCTCTATTTTTTGGCTCTCCTTCCCCACAAATAGCTCCAGCATCTGCCTCTGCTGTTAGGTCTAGCTGACCCAAACTGCAGAGTTAGACTGGCCTGATTCTTGTCAATTTCACTCCCATCTACAGGGTTCTCAACAGAGGTAGTAAAAACTAAGTAAGGTCTGGTCAGGAGATGGACAAATGGATACACAGTATCCTGAGGGTGGTGGCTCCTTCCTGTCACTCTAGACAGAGCTCCTATTTCAAGACACTGTATGGCAAAGTTATTTCTCAAGAAAAATCCCACAAGGACAAGGCTTGTGCCTGTCAGTTTCAGGTGACTCACTGATTCAGAAAAAATATCATGGAACCCAGAATGCATCCATTTTAACTGACAAGATCTGCTGTGTGATCAAGCCACTTACATCAGAACAAGTTTCTCCAGGCAGGTTAGCAACACCAGCCAATCCTCTAGTGCAGTGGTCCCCAAACTTTCTCAATCATAACCCCCCCTTGCCCAGTCCACACCGCCACCCCCCGGGAGTCAGGGCGAGGGTTTAGTGGGGCATGACGGGGAGGGGGAGCCACACTCCAGGGATGGGGGTGTGTGAGTGGGGCAAGGGAGGGGGAGCTGCACTCAGGGCAGGAGGAGAAAGCTGCTGGTACCTCGCTCACAGTAGCCACCCAAGTGCTCCTCCAGACTCCCGCAGCAGCAACTGCTGCTGCTGCTGCTCTTCCCACCCTCCAGGGGTGGAGACCGGTTACTGTGGGTAACCAGACTTTTAGCGTCTGGGACTGGGGCCGCAGCAGAACTGGGGGCAGAGCGAGGCTGCATGGCATGCACTCCCTCCGTGGCCTGCTGCGCCCCCCTTGACATTCCTCTGCACCCTCCGGGGGGGGGGGGGGAGGGAGTGCCCCACAGTTTGAGGGCTCTAGTGAACTGGTGAAGACCAACGTAAGATGTTTTTGGAGGTGTATCAGTAATGTGAAAGCATAGAAATGCTAAGCTGTAAAGATGGTTTCAGGCTTGGCGTCAGTTCATACATGGTGAAAGAGGTCTCAGCAAGAAAGTTTGAGATCATGTACCCAGATATGCACCTCCAAAACCCCTTACTCCTTTGACTGGTTCTGTTGGATGCAGATCAGAATTGTGCCTGTGATGCTCTAGGGAACATGAACTGAACACATCACCATTTGTCAGCAAACACTCCCCCAGTCACAGCAGTGCTGGGGTATGATGGGTGAGAAATTGCTGGGAGTTGAAAGGGTAATGGAAGTGCAATCCTTCAGGCAGTCAGACCTTTTACTATTCATCACAGACCTCAGTGAGACATCTAATCCTCACCACCAAGTTATAAAAATTTCTCAGTGCATACAACAGGAACAGATGTATACAACTCTAGTAGTTTCAAGGAGCTTATAAGGCAGCAGTGGAAATTCATAGTTTGGGTAAGACCTAGCTCATTTTAAAATTCCCAATAGCCCAGATCACTTTTCAGAAGATACACAAAATCCAGTTAAGTGCAGATCAGAGCTTATGGGCATGTGGGGGAGAGAGAAATGACACACAGGAAAGTTAATCCAAATTACCTACAGGTGTGAATTTGAAGTGGATAAATTAAACTGCATTAAACCCATGTGGATATTCCTAGGCCTGGTCTACACTGGGAACTTACATTGGCATAGCTATGATTCTAAGGAGTGTGAAAAATCAACACCTCGAGACAAAGCTATGATGATCCAACGGTGTAGACAGAACAATTCTTCCATTGACTTAGCTACTGCCTCCCGAGGAGGTGGATTAACTACAGCAATGGGAGAACCCCTCCCGTTGCTGTTGTGTCTGTCTATGCTGAAGCGCTGGAGCAGTGCTGCTATAGTGTTTTAAGTGTAGACATACCCCTATTCATAATATAGTGGCCTTAATTTGGTTACGCTTAATTCACTGAAGTGTCCCTTTGAAACTAGAGTTCAGCCTACTGTATAAAAAAGTTTTGTACAGTATTTTAAAATGTTTGTCAGGTATTCCTACAAGTATTTTAACTTGTTTCTTTGGGGATGTATTTCAAAGCATATGGGTGAAATTGGTAGCTAAGCACAAGCTACTGCAATTAATTTCTCCCCAAACACAGACTATGGGTATTACACAAATACTCACAGCACTGTCAAATTCGATACTTGTAATCCCTGCGTTACTGCCAGAGAGAGAACTTTTCAGCTCGCACCTGTCTGTATGCAGAAAGAAACAATTAAGCAATGGATTGGAGCGGATACAAATTGGGGGAAAGATTTGAACTTCTGTGTTAGTTCCATTTGGCCAACACACTGGGACAATTACCACAGCAAAACAAAAACGAATTTCATAGTGGCACTGGCTTTTGATCAGTTTGCTTGAGCCTGGCTTTACTCCCCAGTTCTGAGTAGTATTTCAGCTGATCTAACATAACTGCTTCACACTTATATAGTGTTTGTCTGGAACTGCAGAACTGCATGCTCAACTTAAAAACACCAGCAACTGAGTTAAAACTTTAGGAGAAAATCCATTTTGCACGAGCCAGCTGTATGGGATTCTAAATTTGGTACAAGACACAAAGTATTCTTTTTGGCCTATGTCACTTCACACAGTAACTCAGAGCAGAAGCTTACCTCCAAAGACTTCCCAGAGTTTAACTCTCCGATCCATGCCTCCTGTTGCTAGTAACCGGGAAGCAGGACTGAATTGCACTGCGTTCACTTCTCCATCATGTGCATCCTTGGGGGAGGGAGAGCAAAAAAACAATCACAGCCACCCCAAACGACATCAGCACCAAACAGTCTGTAGCCCCATACAGAGCTTGCTGAAGAGTAGATCTAGCCCAAATGTGATCATCTTTCATATGTAGAAGGCCCATACTAAATAAAATTAGCAAAGCCTATATTAAACAAATCAGAATACCACAAAAACTCAGGTGGATTACCAAGGTACTAAAATGAGTATAGGAAATCTCTGGGATTTCTTTAGCCGTGCAGCAGCCATCTCTATTACATGAGCATTCAAAGCAAGTGACTGGTTCACAAGAGTTTGCTCCAATATTTTCCAGCTATAAAATGAATAATTTAGAGTTGCCTTGCACAGACTCAGACTCAAAAATGGCCTCACCATTCCATAACATACACAAGAGGTCTCAGCTTGAAAACTTGAGATCACACACACCACAAATCAAGACACCCCACACCCTAAACTCCTTAATTGGTTCTGTTGGATGACATTCAGGGCCATGCTTCCTTACACTGTGGATAACAGGCACTGAACTTATCCTAAATTGTCAGCAGCCTCTCCCCCAATCACAGCACTGCTATAGCACGATGGGACAAAGAGAGACTGTTGGGAGCTGAAAGGGTAATGGGAGTGTGATTCTTTTGTGCACTCAGACCTTTTACTAGTCATCATTGACCTCAGCAAGACATACATTAACTTAACTATGACCACAAAAGAAGGAACATTAAAAGTGTGAAGGATGCATGCACCTGAGTGAATTTTTGTTTTAGGTGGATATCTAGGCTGAGAGTAAAGTCAATACGGACTAAATGGACCTAGCTGCCTTTCCAATTCATGAGTCATCTTCTAGATTTAAAACATTACCTGGAGCAGTTTAAACAAGCAGAGCCATATTATCCCAGACAGCATTTGCTACTCAAAGATCAAATTCTCCTCTTCTTAGGCAAGAAGAGTCTGAAGAAACTTCTAGTTCCTGGATATACTTACAAAGACATACACTGCAGTAGTGGGCACTCTCACTTCTTTACTGGAACCTGGATGCACATCTACATTTTCCTGGGGAGCGGGAAATGAGGACAGAGAGCGCCTCCTGCGATGGGACACAAAGAAAAATACGTTAAATAGAAGAGTGGACGCAGTTCCTCTCAAAATGGCAGGCACAGACCTGGATGAGCCCGACTATAACTGTGGGGTGGATGAGAGATGGGGCCAAAATCCTTACTTCATTCTTTCCCCCCTCCTTTCCGGACTGCATTTTATCAGATTACATCAGTTCATGCCTGCACCTTCTCTTACCTAGCTTAACCTTAGTTTGCTCCCACACTATCAAATTCACTGCCAGCCTAATGTTTGAGCAGTCATCTTTTCTTGTACTAAGGAGTCAAACAATGTAAACATCACAATGAGTTTAGAGGGACAGACTGCAACCCCACCATTGTGTCTAGTTTATACTGCACTACTGTGCTCTGAGAAGATCCCAGCCAGTGGAGTACCCCATTTGAAAGCCCGAACTCCAACACTGTCTTACAGAAAGACCTTCCACCTAATGCAGGACTCCACTTAGAGGGTCTGACTACAGCACAGTCACTGGGGAAGAGACCCCAACTAATGAGGTGCTGACTACAGCACTGTCATTAAAAAGAACCAAATCCACATACTGCTCCACTCAGAAAGACTGCCTGAATCGCTAACTGGAAAGTTTCTAGCCAGTGTTATGAACATCTGAAGCCTAATCAGGGTAGTGAAGCTGGGTTCCACGTTACTTCAGTGTCATATATTCACATGCTGGACTAAGAGTGGATAATGTTTTCACCTGGCAGCATCAGAAGAGTGATGTCCCAAAAGGGAAGACTCAGACAGACTGGAGGGAAAGGTCAGAGGTCAGCATACGGCAAGATGGAAGAAACAGGAAGTTGAGGAGAACAAAAAGAAAAAAAGCAGAAACTAGAAGAAAGGCTGACATTATGACATCTGTATTCCTTACATCACTGAAATTCTGGTGTACGTTGAAACCAATATATAAAAACAAGAAAAGGTGAAGGTGTTCTAACCTACCCAAAAATATTAGTGATAGAGTCCAGAAGGCCTCCAGCTGGCTGGGACAGTCGCTTACTAAAGAGGAGGGGAGGACAGGTTTAAGCCTTATGAACAGATTGTTCAAATGAAGATCAATAAATACAGTTCACAACACCAGGTATCTGGGAAAAGATGCTTTCCATTTCAGCCCAAGCTCAGGAGGGAAGACCCCACGGGAGCAGGAGCAGCAGCACATGCAGGTCACCATTAATAACAGCTTGGAATATATAACGGGGTGAGGTTAAGGACTTTATAAAACTTTGAGAAAGGACTGTCTTCATTGGGTTTATGCAATTTGAAACGCTGTTTAGACTTGTCAAACACTCATTGACCCCTATTCTCGCAGTTGGAGACTGTTCATATAACTCCACCCACCCTTGCTGCTGTGTTGTAGTAAGAAATGTGTGTGTTAAGTCTACGGGGGAAGGGAGTTAAGTAGCTTTTCAACAGTTTTCATTAACTGCTACCCATTCGTAGGTTATATTGACATTTCAAAAGGCACCTTAAAAAGGTACAGGAATATCAGTCTACATACCTGGATGTCCGGCTGACAGCTCGCACTGGGGAAGTCTCTTCAGCTGGGTCAGAAGTTTCATCCACAAGCACTTCAATATCATCATCCCTGGAGAAGTATGGGAACATGCCTCCTTTTGAATCAGCCAAATAAGGCCCATTGTAATCAACTCCCTTTGCCAAACCCCAAAGGCAGCGACTCTATTCAGCAATAAAGTGAACGAATATTCCCACCATACACACCCTCTCCGGTTTCCATATTGGTTTAAAGTTAATCTGCATATTACCTATCTGGTAACTTACAGAGGTATGAGCACTTCATACTTAAGGCAGTAAGTGAGCAAGCAAAGCAGAATCTAGGCATAAATCCATTCCAGCACAGAAGTAATTGATACTATTTTTCCAATCTGTACAATCTCTGCTCTCACATGAAACCCTATTATACTGTTGCATGTAGTCCCAACTTTTTCCAAACATAAGTGTCTCCAGTGGTCCCCACTCCCGGATCAAGATAACTATTCCAACTGCCAAAGGCACTGCATCACAGAAATTGTATTCTGTTGAGATACGAGTGCAGATTCACTGAATGAACCTGTCTTAGGACTTTCAAACTTGAGTTAATATTCTTAGTCACAGCAGAGTTCCTCATTCTATAAACATACAAATAAGGAAATTTACTGCATATTTCTGATTTTAAACTGACTTTTCAAGTTTTAACACTCCTCTATCACAATTACTGAAGATAAAAATGCAATTTACCCTAATTCTCTATAAAAATTAGGGCTTTCGATTAATCACAGTTAACTCACGCAATTAACTCAAAAAAATTAATCGCAATTAAAAAAATTAATCGTGATTAATCACACTGTTAATAGAATACCAACTGACATTTAATATTGATGTTTTTCTACATTTTCAAATATATTGATTTCTATTACAGCACAGAATACAAAGTGTACAGTGCTCACTTTATATTATTTTTATTACAAATATTTGCACTGTAAAAATGAAACAAAAGAAATAGTATTTTTCAATTCACCTCATACAAATACTGTACTGCAATCTCTTTATCGTGAAAGTATAATTTACAAATGTAGGGATTTTTTTGGTTACATAACTGCACTCAAAAACAAAACAATGTAAAACTTTAGAGCAGAGGTAGGCAACCTATGGCACGCGTGCCGAAGGCGGCATGCAAGCTGATTTTCAATGGCACTCACACTGCCCGGGTCTTAGCCACCGGTCTGGGGGGCTCTGCATTTTAATTTAATTTTAAATGAAGCTTCTTAAACATTTTAAAAAACTTATTTACTTTACATACAATAGTTTAGTTATATATTATAGACTTATAGAAAAAGACCTTTTAAAAACGTTAAAATGTATTACTGGCACGCGAAACCTTAAATTAGAGTGATTAAATGAAGACTCAGCACACCACTTCTGAAAGGTTGCCGACCCCTGCTTTAGAGCCTACAAGTCCACTCAGTCCTACTACTTGTTCAGCCAATCGCCAAGACAAATAAGTTTGTTTACATTGACGGGAGATACTGCTGCCTGCTTCTTATTTACAATGTCACCTGAAATTGAGAACAGGCATTCACATGGCACTTTTGTAGCCGGCGTTGCAAGGTATTTACGTGCCAGATATGCTACACATTCTTATGACCCTTCATGCTTCGGCCACCATTCCAGAGGACATGCTTCCATGATAATGATGCTCATTAAAAAAAAAAAAAAAATTTTTTTTTTTTTTGTTAATTTGTGACTGAACTCCTTGGGGGAGAATTGTATGTCTCCTGTTCTGTTTTACCCACATTCTGCCATATATTTAATGTTATAGCAGTCTTGGATGTTGACCCAGCACATGTTTGTTTTAAGAACACTTTCACTGCAGATTTGACAAAACGCAAAGAAGGTACCAATGTGAGATTTCTAAAAATAGCTACAGCACTCGACCCAAGGTTTAAGAATCTGAAGTGCTATCCAAAATCTGAGAGGGATGAGGCATGGCATATGTTTTGAGAAGTTTTAAAAGAGCAACACTCAGATGCGGAAACTACAGAACCTGAAACACCAAAAAAGAAAATCAACCTTCTGCCGGTGGTATCTGACTCAGATGATGAAAATGAACATGCATCGGTCCGCTCTGCTTTGGATCATTATCGAGCAGAACCCATCATTGGCATGGACGTATGCCCTCCGGAATGGTGGTTGAAGCATGAAGGGACATATGAATCTTTAGCGCATCTGGCACGTAAATGTCTTGGGACGCTGGCTACAACAGTGCCATCCGAACACCTGTTCTCACTTTCTGGTGACACTGTAAACAAGAAGCAGGCTGCATTATCTCCTGCAAATTGTAATCAAACTTGTTTGTCTGAGTGATTGGCTGAAGTAGGCCTGAGTGGACGTGTAGGCTCTACAGTTTTACATTGTTTTATTTTTGAATGCAGTTAATTTTTGTACATAATTCTACATTTGTAAGTTCAGCTTTCATGATAAAGAGATTGCATTGCAATACTTGTATTAGGTGAATTGAAAAATACTATTTCTTTTGTATTTTTACAGTGCAAATATTTGTAATAAAAAATATAAAGTAAGCACTGTACACTTTGTATTCTGTATTGTAATTGAAATCAATATATTTGAAAATGTAGAAAACATCCAAAATATTTAAATAAATGGTATTCTATTATTGTTTAATCGCTTGACAGCCCTAATAAGAATACATTCATGCATGGTGATGAGAAGAGACACCTTTCACACCGGACAGGAGAAACAGAACAGATTTATTTCCCAGACCTCAGGTTTTAGCACACCTCTACTGCCTGAAATCAGGGTTACTTACTGTTCAACTGGCAGCGGTTCCTTGGCAGCTTCTGCTAGCTCTTTCTGCAACTTGGCTTGTCGCCTCCTGGAGGGGAAAAAACAAAGTTCTTTACATAAGCACAACCTTATAATGATATGTCAACAAAGAAATCTAGTGAGATTATATGATGCTAACACATAGGCATCACATGCCAAGGAGGCAAGTATGTAAGCTGCATTTGGAAAGAGCACACTTTGAAGACTGCTTGCATGGCTGTTAACCAAAAGTTACGAGGAACTGATTCAAATTAATGCATTGCTTGATCAAAAAGCAACTAAGTTAACGGGATACAGAAAATGAAGAAATTGTTTAGGTTAGCCGAAGGGGGTAAAACTAGGAGTAACCATATCTGATACAACCATGGTAAAATCAGAAGACAGATTCCAGCTGTTTGATCTGTTAGACTAGAATAGTTTCCTGAGGAAATAGTGGAAAAGTCATTACTTTAGTTATTTACAATTAGACAAAGCCCCGGAGAATATACTTTACTTTGCTAGCCCCACAGGATGAACATGAAGTTCCAGAATCTTTTCTGCCTTGGATGTCTAGGTTTTCAGAGTAGACCGAAGACTCTAGAAGACAATGGTCCCTCGAGGGCTGGCGTACTCAAACCACACTTATTTTACCAAATATATGGTCAACATCTCACCTCGAGTCCTTCTCATTCTCTGCATTGAGCCGATTAGCTTCCTGAGCCTTCTCTGCCATCCAACGTGTGACCAGCTCTTGGTTGTCTTCAGTAGTTTTCCTCAGTTTCTCTTCTAGGGCAGTGAAGGTGATCTGGAGAGCATCATACTCATCCTTCAGTGTTTGATTGGCTCGCTCAAGTTCTTGCAGCTTGCTGCGCAGTTCCTGGCACTCTGTTTCCAGCTCAGAGATCTTTTGCATGTATTCTGCAATCCTGGAAGAGCAACAGCATAAGTAACACAATGAAAAACACTCTTTGGGGCAGAGACCATCTTTTTGATCTGTGTTTGTACTGTGCCTAGCACAACAGGGTCCTAGTCCATGACTGGGCTCCTAGGCACTACTGTAATACAAAAACACCTGACCAAAAATCTGGGTCTCATGCCCTATATCACAAAGAAGAAATTGCTCCTACTCACTTTGCTTCATTCATCTGCATCTCCCGGTCTTTTTGCTGCATTTGGTTATTCAAATCAATCACTGACTGGGCCAACTAGGGAGAGAAAAAATAATTACAAAAAAAATGCAGGGATGCCACCTGTACACCAGCCATTCATTGGCTCCTAGTCAGAAAGTGTCAGTCCAACTTTATAAGTAATGTATGCATCTTTCAGAACTTCCTCTTCTTCAAAGATAGCAAACAGTTCTGGACACAGTACTAGCAGACAGTATCAGACTGGGAAGTCTACTACTTAGGAGTAGTTGTCATCACTGTTACTATCGCTTAGTATCTCAGCCCTGTCAGACAGAAAGGCTTCTTTGGACACAGCCATATCAAACGTTGAGGGTGAATATGAGGAAGAAATCTTCACTTTTTTCAAATATCACAAAAAGCACTGAAATAAAGTAGCAACCAGAAGATTCATTTATGCAGGAAAAGCAAATCCTTTGAACTATAACAATGAATAGTACACGTCAATCACATGAACAGGTTGAACATTCTGCTGAGAAGTGTCAAGGGGTAACAGACCTATCAGAAGTTTAAATTTGACAATAGCAAAGATAATGAAACAGGATCAGAATCCAATAGCTTTAGAATTACCACACAGACACCATGCTCACAAAGGGCCACAAGTAGGCCACACAATACATGAAAGAAGACTTTCTAACCTCGCCACGCTTCTTATGCAGCTCTGTCAGCTCCTCTTGATGTTTAATCCTCAGCTGGGCCATTTCCTGCAATTGAGCTTCATTCCTTGTGCCATCATGCCCTGGACTGGAATTTTAGAGGAGAGATTTCACAAGCTAGAAGTTGATTGCTTCTGAGCCTCTGCCTAGTTAGCCTCATAACAGCATTTCCTGCAATTTCAAATTCGTGTAACTACATTCAGACATTAAGGTAGATTTAAAACCCTCCAGGCAACCTCCCTGTATTGAAATTTATTATGAAAGGAAGTCTCATGCATATTTGTAAATTCTTCATAGTCTGTCTATACATCCCATTATTCACCCATTAAAATAGCCAGACCTAGTCAGGCATGACATTTAAAACATCATTTAAATGCATCCTTCAATAACCGTCTTGAAACTCCCTGTCAAGAAGTATACAAAAAATACTTGAGGTCTTTGCATCCTAGAAGTAGGGACACACACTGCTTTCCTCAAGTGAGCAAACATGTGACTTAACTCCCTTCAACTACAGGTCTTAAGGACAGAAGTTGTTCTTTTGGACAAGAGGAGTACTCTCCAGTACTATTCCATAATCCTCAGCTCAGACTTTTAGTTCGTTTCTTAAAGTTTTTTGTTTCTTTGTCTCTCATGGGGCTGGGGGTGGAGGGGTTCGTTCCTGACCTAGAACTCACCTTTCCTGTCATGTTGTTGTACCCATCCCTGTCACGTAATTCTACTTTTTCCTCTCTCAACTGTATGCCTTCAGATACCATAACCTCCTGACACCATTTCCCTGACTACCCCTTCATCAATGCCTTCATCTTTTCTTGCACCCCCCTAAACAGGACATGCAGAGTTGCTGCTGCTTGCCTTCTGACATAGTCTTTATATTCCGAGAATTCCACTGACTCCCATATGCATTTGAGGTTATACAACAAAACCTTCCTCTTTGGACCTATTCCTCACAGACTTTGTCTTCCTCTCCCCACTTCCTTAGTTCATTTAACCCTGGTCTCCTCCACCTACTCTCACCTCTTTGTGAAAATGTTTTTTCTTCTAAAGCTTCTTATATCTAGAATATCTTACCTCCATCTTTTTGCCTCTTCCTAAATCTTAGATGAAAATAATTTAGCTCTTTCCTGTACATGGTAGGTTTTCAATTTCTCTCCTGTTCCGATTGTTACTTTATAAACATTTAATTTTTCTTCAGAGGATTTGGGGAGTGCATAAGACGCTACACAAGTTGAGTCCTAACCTAGGGTGAACACAAGTCTTACAGCATGCCGTAAACCCAATGCTGTCAGTTACTAATTGCATTATTTTTAATTTACAAGTTGTCACTCTACTTATGGGCCCTACCCCACCATTAACAGGCTAGTCTATAAAAATAGACTGAAAAGTAGTTCCATAACACCCTCTCCTCCCAGCACAGTTCCTTGATTTTCCAGGGACTGAGTTCATTCTCTTATCACCTACAAAATAGAACTTAGAGCCAGTTATTATATTAAGAGTTCCTGGTTTTAGGTTAAAACAGAAGCAAGATGAGGTTTTTTATACAATACCCCAAGGACTGCAAAAACTGCAAGTTTGGGTGCATTTAAAGTGGTTTGTGGAGGGAGCTGATGGAGTCTAGAGTTCTCCAGAAGGCAGTATGTTCCAGGGGATAGGGCAATGGACTGAGAATCAAGGGACCTGAGCGCTATTCCCTGATCTGCTACTGATCTGTTGTAACATCATGGGCAAGTCATTTGCCCTCTCTGTGCCTCTGTTTCTTCTCCCACACTTTATCTTCTCTATGGAAGTTGTAAGCTCCTTGGGAACTGGTACTGTCCTATTCTGTTTGTACAGCACAGCGGGGTCCTGATCAGTTTGGAGCCAGTAGAAACTAATATAAACAATACACTACCCATCACTATAACCAAAATCTCCTACGTTTTTTGGAAGCTCACACACAGGAACATGGAGGTCAATTTTTAAAAGATATAATTCAAGCAAATCAACAACTTTTTTAGAAGTTAAAAAAAAAAAAAAAAACAGTTTTTCTAAAACAATGAAAATCAGAAAAAAATAGACATACTAGTAACCCTAAGCAGTAGAAGAAGGAAACGTGCAGTATCTGTTTGTGTAATCATCCTATGTTTGGCACTTGGGGGGAAGAAAGAGAGGAGGAGGAGAGATGGGACGACCTAGCTAATCTGCTCTGAAGACCATAAAATCAGAAAGGAGTCAGAGTGACAGATTAGTGTTCTGAAGGGAAATGAATGCGAGAGGGACTCTAGTATGTGGTCATCTCGAACTTCCCTCTCTCACTTTAGTTTACACGATAACAAATATTTCTATTTTGCCTGAAACCGTACCACTTTGGGTTGTTCTTACATCAGATCTCACAAGCTAAGTAGGCGCAAACCAGGTCACTAACAGAACAGGAGGTCTAGGTTTTTAGGAAGTGGTGCTGATAACTTATTCTTCCTACCCATGTAGCACTGACCCAGTGGCCCAATATGGTAATAGGAAGCAATGTATTTCCAGACATCTGCATGTCCAAAGGTAGTGTAAAAAGTCCTGAGGGAACATCTGTTATCCTGTGACTTACCAGGTGGAACCAGCCATTCCCCACCCAAGTCTTTAGGGCAGGTAAAGACAGTCTCTCAGAGACCCATGGCTGTGGGATTCACTCCCTATCAACATATACAAGAGTATACTGAGGGCACTTCCAGAGTAAGGCTTAGGATTTTACTTTTAAGGCTTTGTTTATATGTACTGTAGTCCTTCCCCCACCCCCACTATTATTCAGTTGGGCATAGCCTCCCACAAATGAAAGTTGGCTATCGATGGCACAACTACGAATCTATTTCAGATGGCAGGGCAGCCTGTTACAATCCCCACAAACATAGCTTTTGCCACAGCAGATACTTGTACAACCTTAAATATTATGGTCACCAAAGAACCTTTGAGATTTTTCATAAGGCTATCAGCCCGTGTGCTGGTCAATTTCTAACAAGTAATTACATTCTAGTTACTTAATGTTTTGCCTGTGGTATGCCGGTCAAATTCTATTTCAACTAATTACATTCTACTTGCCTAATGTTTCACTTGCAGTTTATGTAGGACATAGTATTATTCATTTCCTATCCTCAACAGCATACAGTGGTTTTACACAACATGTTTTCCACTCTAGAGGTAGCTGCACTTCATTGGCTGGTGAAGCAATTTGTATACATCAACTTTATAACTGTCATGAATATTGAAGTCTACTAATGTGCCCTTATTGCAATAATATCAGTCCTGATCTGTTACTGTTCACATGCTGTCAACGCATGGAACTATATGTCGCATTATGCTAGGGAATTGGATCAGTACAGACTGAAATGCAAATAGAACCATCAGCACCATCACCACCTGCAGTATCTGTTTTTTTCCTACAGCAATAACGCTTTCTGAAGCTAATGGCCACCTGGCTTTTTTTGGCACTTGGAGGGGGAGGGAGGAGGAGAGGGGAAGGGAGGGATGAGGGGAGAAGAAAACAGAATGCACTCTACCACTTCATTTTTCTCCCTATGGAAGTCTTCATGACTCATGAGACCATGAAGCCACGAAGTTTGAAAACCTCTACCTTAAGTACAGACCTGGTCTTTCCCTACAGCGCTTATGAAATTGGACAAAGTCACTGACTGAAGTAGTATTGTAAGCCAACAGTGAGAAGTAGTATGAAAGTTATGGGGCAAATAGGTCCAATAGCATAATAGTCCAATTTAGGCCGTATCAAATACAGAGGCTGCTACAAATGACCAAATAAACCATTATCTGTCTGAAAATCTATTTGTAAGATAGCTTTCCACAAGAATGGACTTAAACTGGGTAACAATTGCAAGACCTTGTAATGAAGTGGTCTACAACCTAATCTAGGTTTATCAGGAGCTATTGGAATATTTGGTTCCAAGTTATAGTAGTAACCTACAGAGACTGGATGTATATGCATGAAGTTTTAGTGTATGAGAGACAGCTGATTGAAATGTTCATCTTGATTGAAAAAGAATTTCAAGTACCTGATCTCATGTCTGTTTTGCAAGTCATACTTTTCTGCTTGCAGCTTATCAGCCAGCACGGCATGGAGATCAGTCTTCTCTAGCAGCTTGTTATCTAACAGGACAAGAAAGTACAATTAAAAAACAAGTGAGGAGCAAAACCAGCTTTCCCCATTTATAAGATTTCAGGATCTTGTAGTTAATCCTACACCAACTCATCATATGACACTATGTCACACTGTGATACAACACCCTGTTTTGACTTTGGTAGACAATGGTTTTATTCCTACTCAGGCTTAGATAACCTCTCAGAAACAGACAGTAGGGACCAATTCTGCAAAGTTTTATTCAGAAGTAGTCCTTACTCAAATGTACTACTATTGATATATGTGGGACTTCTCATGGGAATATGGGTTTGAAGAATCCATCCTTGAACTCATCCTAGGCAAAGGCAACCAAAACGCAGCCTGTAGAACACAACCAACCCTCTAATATTTGTAATACAGCCCTAGAAGACTATTTTACACTACAGGGGGGAAAAAAGTAACGAGTTAGGGTTAGCATGGTAGCACAACACTTAGGGACCAGCCATTTGCTTCTATTTGCTCATGTTGCAACTATAGGTAAAAGATGGCCAAAAAACAAGCTCAAAGTGAAAAGCCAACTATATTGGATAAGACCAACACTAGAGACTTAACACCCCCAACTAAAAGTCAGTATAGGCAACACCAGTGCTAGCTTCACTCCGACAAATACCTGAACAATGTCTTAGAGGAAGTACTTTAAAAGATGAAAAGATACTTCTCAGACCATCCACAGTGCAGACGGACTGAACTGAAACCAGCTTGTCTCTCATATTAAATGCAAAATACCACACTTAAGCATGAACAACAAACCAGTGCTTTCGTCTTTCAATATACGCAGTGCAACAGTAACGATCATGGTTAAGGTTGCCCAACGTTTTCAAACATATCGCCATTTTCGGGTGCTAATAACATTAACAACTTCGGGAACTGTGGGATGCAGCGGGCACCAACAATGCTATGGTTAGAAGTATGCTACTGAGGTTGTAGAGCAAAACTGTGGTTCGTTACACACACTTACACTGGAGGATGATCTCTTCAAAGGCCTGTCTCTGCAGCCGGTCCCGGCGCCTCAGCTCCTCTGCAATGTGACGTTTCCACGTGGGGAAACTCGCAGCTCTGAGCCCAGAAGTCATCTCACCAGCACTGGCCTCAGCGTCCCGGTTTTCTACTGAGCTGAGCAGAACCAGGCTAAGCAAGTTACTCCTGCCACAAACACCCTCGCACGCAGAGTCTTGCGACTTCCCAGTGCTCAGGACCTCGTGGTTTCTGGAGGGGCCAGAAGAAGGGCGCACAGGCAGAGAGAGACGCAGACGGGACCAGGGGCACTGTAGTGGGGAGGGAACAGGGAATACACTCGGGCAGGGGCACAGACACACTCGGGCAGGGAAGGGAAATGCAGACTGCAGGGGTTGAGTAAGGGCAGGACACACTGACTGGGGGAGGGAGGGGGCAGCTGGCAGCAGGGCGGGGCGCACAGTCTGAGCGGGGCAGCAGAGGGCAGAGCCGGGGGGGGGGGGAGGGAAGTGGTCAGCTACCAGCAGGGCGGGGAGATGGGGCACCTGGGGACAGGCTGGGGGGAGCGGGGCGCACAGCCTAGGCGGGGCAGAGGGCACCTGGCAGCAGGGCGAGCGGAGAGGACAGTGACAGACTCGGGAGGGGCCTAGGGACGGGCCGGGAGCGGCAGGGCCCGGCTCCCCGGATAGTTCCGACAGGCGGGGGCCTCTCACCACCACTCCCTAGCCTGGCCACAGCCACAGTCCCGCTCGGCCGCTCCCCACCGGCGCCATTCTCCCGAGCCGCACATCACCGGGGGGCCTGAGCGCTCCGCGTCGCACAATAAAGCCGTTGTCAGCTGACTCCGCCGCTGCCGGACCCGGACAGCAGCCGCCTCCAGTCAGGGCCCTGGCGGACACCGCAGGCTCTGCCAGCACGGGCGGCGCCTTCACTGGGCTCGCTGCGGGCGAGTCGCAATCGCTATCCGGCGAACAAGCTGGTCACCTCGGCACAAAATAGCAAGTGCGGGGGCCTCCCCAAGCCGCCATTTTAGAGGCGGTACCGATAGACGGTCTCTCACCGGCCCGCCATCTTGAAGGTGGCACAAAGAGAGGAAGGTCGCTGCCATCTTGGGGGTGGCGCGGAAAGCAGCAGAGAAACGGGGATGGCGTTTGACCTGCATAGAGAGTTCGCCCGTTACGAGCCGCCCCGCCTGCTTCCTGCGGGGCTGGGCACAGGCCCAACCGACCCCTTCAGCCCGGTGCAGCGCCTGCGGGGCAGACCAGGCCCTCCGGGCGCACCCTGGGCCCGGCCTCGCCGCCTCCTGCTGTCGGGGTGTGGCAGTGGAGAGAAGACGGGCCGGGTCCGTGGTGCACCCTCTGCCCGTGTAGGCTCTCGGCTGGAGAGGCCGGGGAGTGATGGGTGGTGGTGGTGGTGGAGGGGGGAATTGGTGTTCTATAAATAAAAGCACACAACTTATATTTTAATATCCGTAGTCTTGCCTTTCTAATGTGATGGATGTGCCTCCCTGCCGATGCCGCGGCAGCCCCCGAGCTGGGGCTGGGGAGAAAGGGGGGGGGTCTCTCCTTTGCCCTGGTAGTCGCTGAGGCTGGGAAGGAGTGGGGGTCTCTCCTTCGCCCTGGTAGTCACAGAGCTGAGGCTGGGAAGGAGGGGGGTCTCTCCTTTGCCCTGGTAGTCACAGAGCTGAGGCTAGGAAGGAGGGCCATCTCTCCCTGGCAGTTGCAGTCCTGGAGCTGGGAAAAGTTGCCTCTTTCTCTGGCCACTGCAGCCCTCCATGTTCCAAATTCCCCCCACCCCCTCTTTTCACACCACTGCCCCCTCCCAGCTACCCCCATTCCGGCCAGGGCCACCACCTCACCTTACATGTGCGTCTTCTCTAGGGTCCAGGCACCGAATTAGTGGACTCACATCACACCTGCGTGGCTCCACTAATTAGGTGGGTGGCCCTTTATTCTCCTGTGTGCGGCCGCCCAGGCGTGCACCTTAGAAGGAAATATCTGTGGACCACCTAAATGGAGCTGGTCCACGCACCACAGTTTGAGAACCTCTGGTGTAGACATAGCCTTAGTGATCCTCATAGTGCAGGCATAGTTATATCGTTCGACTAACTCATTTCGCTGGGGGAACCAGTATCAGCTCTCCAACCAAAAGCACTTTTTTGCTGCTATAAGCTGCATCTCCACTGGGAGGGTTTGCAGCTATAGGTATACTGGCAAAGCCTTTCTAGTATGGACCTGGCTAGGTGAGAGTGGATAGCTGATGTTGGAGGAGAAAGAAGCTACTTCTGTCATGCAATAAAGAGCTCTGATGGAAAAGAAGCTAGAATGAAGTACAGAGGAGATGGCATGGGTCATCTATGCTGGAGTGGCTTCTGTTGGGCACAGATATTAACATAATCCAGTTCCTGTCCAACATTAAACAAGGTCGGGTTTGGTATACAGAGACCTCAGCCTGTTTTGTACCATGTCAAATACACCATCAAAAATCTTTTAAAATGTTTATTAAAGATACAGAAAAGAAAGAAAAACAGTTAAAGCATTTGAAATGTGAAGCATTAAGTAACGTTTCCATTTTAACATTTCTTGCTCCATTTCCCTTCAGCTGGAGAGAGTTTTTAAAAGGAAAACACCCTTGTTTGACAGTCTCTTAGATTATTTCAAACATAGTAATAACTGCCTTTTTGGGGAAAAGAAGTTAATTGGGATGAGTTGGAAATGTTGTTATTAAAGTCTGGTCCCATTTCATCACAGGTGGCCAGGTCTCTCTGGTCCGGTCTGGTCATGCTCTCTCAGGATTAGAATGAAGGCGGCTCAGGGTCCCAAGCAATGGTGAAGCTCACTCCAGAAGCCTTTCGGGGGAGGGATAGCTCAGTGGTTTGAGCATTGGCCTGCTAAACCCAGGGTTATGAGCTCAATCCTTGAGGGGGCCATTTAGGGATCTGGGGCAAAAATCTGTCTGGGGATTGGTCCTGCTTTGAGTAGCAGGTTGGACTAGATGACCTCCTGAGGTCCCTTCTAACCTTGATATTCTATGATTCTATCTGTTCTGTAGTTCCCACCCCCAGTCTTTCTCTTTAAGGACTCACAAAGAAAATGGTGGATGAAATAGCCCATCCTCTCATTATTTTGTCCACCAGTCAGGCCTAATATCCATCACACCAATTTTGGTTCATTAATTTCTGATTCCCCATCTTCTGTTTTTACCAGGCATTATTTCAACATAGTCCTTGAATTATATTAATGTGGCCTTTTTTTTTTTTTTGGACTAACTTAATCTCTCTATCTGGTTCTCGCACCTGTTCGTAATGTTCATTACTGAAAGCAACTTGACTTATAATAATAAATGTAAATAGGAAGTATTGTAACATTTTATGATCTTTCATATACTCCACAATTGCACTCACAAATAGGGTAAAATTATAGGCCCAATTATCACAACACTGCCCACTGCCAGACACTGCATGTTTATGGCAGGAAGCCACAGACAAACCACAACACAGGGCTGTATATACAGAAAGTAACAGGATTATCTGCCATTTCAACAGGATCATAGAGGAGGCTGGTGGTAGCTCACACTTTTCCCTTCCATATCCTTGGAAACCATGGTAAGACTGAGAGCAGTTAGGGGGCTGGTGTGCCTATCATGCTGACTATTATCGTCTCATTATCAGAGAGGTAGCCGTGTTAGTCTGAATCTGTAAAAAGCAACAGAGGGTCCTGTGGCACCTTTAAGACTAACAGAAGTCTTCTGTTAGTCTTAAAGATGCCACAGGACCCTCTGTTGCTTTTTATCGTCTCATTGCTTCTTTGTACTCCCATGTATGTCCCTCTGGGGTAGGGACTATCCTTTTGTTCTGTGTTTGTACAGCACTTGGCCCAGTGGGCTCCTGGTCCATGATTAGGGCTAGTGTGTGCTATAATAATGGCCCCCCACTCCTCTGAGAGAACAGGGACCCTACAACTGCAATTCCACAATGTGACCAAGATTTTCCAATATGTGAGTACCTCAAGTTAAGCACGTGTGAAGATTTAGGATCCTAAAAAAGTGAACTATTTAAAAGCACTGAACAGCTCCTTCTGAAGTAATTGACTTCAACAGGGACTACTGAATGCTCAGCTCTTCTGAAAATCAGGTCCCTTCTTTAGGCTCCAAATTTGGTCACCCAGTCTTTAAAAAATTTGGCATATTCTTCTTGAGATTGCTCAGCTTTCATTCCTTCTGTGCATGAATCAGGCTTTATAAAGTTGGGAATTCAAGTAAACTCAAAATAAGGATATTTGAAACAATTAACAAAACTTATTCTGTCCAGCAGGCAATCTGTGAGTGATGAGAGGGCACAGAGGCATTTGGAGCAACTACTGGTACTTCTAATTTTTAATAGGTGGTAGGGGGGAAAAAAACAAACATTTCAACAAGCATGATTCAGAGTGTACATAAATAGGTTCCCCAAGAACAAAACAAAGGCTTTGTTGTTTTTTCGCAAAGCCAAGAAGTACATGACACTTTAATGGGGTTTGGATGAAATAAATAACTGGTGCATGTGTGTCATGGAGCGTGTGCCCCAGTTTGTTTGCTGTGACTCTCTCAGTAATTTGCATGCCTTCACATTTTATTTTTAAGCAAGATGATTAATGCATATGAAACAAGTTCATGCAAATAGTTACTGAAAATCAGTACACTAGCTGAAGGGTTATGTGCTGAATGCTCCAAAAAGGAAAGGTTAAATGAGTGTCTCTCAAGATTCCCTGAGCCTGGCCTGGATCCACCAAGGTACTTAAGTGCCTAACCCCTGATCTAGGTGCCACTGCAATCCACAAAACCCCCACTTGGCTGCTGCCAACCGTGTAGTGCTTAAACTCACTTGGTGCTTAAATTTCTGCTGTAAAAGTTCCCAAGCACCTATGTTTTGGCCTCTGGCCATGCACACTGCTGCCTCCCTCTAGGGGTCACATATCTCCTGCCTGAGCCCCAGAGCAATCCAGGAATAGGGTCAGGGGGAAGATAGGCATTCGGCCGCCTGACTCATGTGCAGGGCCCATCCCATTGTAGTTCTCAGAGGCTGCCTAACTCCACAGCAAACTGCCAGGGGGAGGAGACAGACCCGGGGCGTTGGAACAGAGGGCCATGGCCCCCTCATGCAGGGAGGTGGAGGAGAGGAGTGAGTGGGGGGGGGGCACTATTTGTCAAGTGCTAAGAATAGGTACAGCGCTGAACAAGACAATGGGCCAGACTACCTGTCCTTTGGGCATGTTCACAGTGGGAGGGGACAGGTACTGCAAAGAGCCTCCATGCAGTACTGCTCTAGGCCAGCCACAGTGCCTGTGTTCAGAAATGTGCAGGGACTGCTCCCTTTGTGTACCTGTGGTGCACATCACCCAAGGTGGGTCATGCCTATCTACAGCAGCCTAACCTAATTTAAAAGATGTTGCCATCCACGCACCTCTCCTATACTCCAGGAAGCTCAGGGAGGGATTATACTTTACAAAGTCATAAACCTGCCACCCCCATGTACTACCTGAAGCATAATGCCCCCTCTAAAAGCGCAATCAAATTCCAAATGACAACTGTCCCTGCATCTAATTGCTTACAATCTAATAGCCAGACAGCAAAAACTGGGTATCTAAATATGTTCTCAGTGTCAAGTCAGCCTGTGGAACTTGTAGCCACAGGAGGAGGCATGCACCACAGGTGACTTTTAAAAGGACTG